GTGTGCAAGGGCTGGTTTGTGCTGGCACAGAACGGCTCGCTGCTGGTGAACAGCTCGGACATCGATTACGAGGTGTGTGACAGAGTCCTGCTCACACTGCGGGCTGAGGACCTGTACACTGAGAAGGGCAACCGCTACAGCCAGAACGGTAGGGCCCCCCTCCCCGCTCCTTCCACCACCACTGGGAATGGTGGGCAGTGGGACCTGCCTCTGCCACCTCTCAGGAGAAGCTGTGGGGAGAAGGACAGGAGCTGGACAGTTTGGTGATGGGGGAGGGTGTCCCCAGCTCTCTTGATCCCTGCTGCAGGAACCTGAGCCTGCTGGGAGTTAAGGGCTCCTGAGGAAAGCAGAGGAGGGTGCTGCAGGGCTGTTGGTGATTGGAGCTCTGCTTTTGGGACATTTGCAGAAACCCTGAGGATCCTCATTGCTGATGTGAATGACAACGCACCAGTCTTCCAGCCCATCTCAGAGACCTTTGGTGAGCAGTCAGGGGTGGTTCATCCCGTGGGCTACTCACTGCACCCACATGTGCTCTGCCACACTCACTGGCAGCAAGGACCTTCCCCCAGCCTGGGGCAGGGCTGCGAGCGGTGCAGGGACCAGGCTGGGATTACTCAGTGTTTTCTGTGAAGGCTGTGGGGCCAAGGGCACTGGGGAGTGCTTGGAGCCCCGGGGCTGTGTGGGCATGGGGTCTGCAGCAAGTCTGGCTTCACACCAGACTGACTGCACCATCCCTCTGTCTGTTCCTGGCAGTGGTTGTTCCTGAAATCTCCCCCGTGGGCCTGCAAGTGGCTACTGTGAAGGTGAGGAGCTGCCTGTATGTGTCTGTCAGTCTGTTCAGCCTTGCTTACCTATCCCCACTGGGGGCAGATGGTGGCCATTCCCACCCGTGCTCCTGCCACGCTCTGTCCCTGCAGGCCACAGATGTTGACACAGGGCTGGGGGGAACCATCACCTTCTCAATTGTCAGTGTGGTGCTCTTGGATGACAACGGGGTCAGCCAGCCCTTTGAAAACCTCTTCACGGTGGAGAGAACGCCCGACCAGGGGGTGTACATTGGGAGCATCAAGTGAGGCCATGGGTCTGGGCTCTGGTGGGGGGATGTGGCTCAGCTCCTGTCTGCTGCAGGGCCAGCACAGGCTGGAAAGGGGACAAAGCCATCCTGGGGTCCTGCCCTGGGCACGGAGGCAGGATGGAGCTTGAAGGATGGCAGTGTCATCACAGGGACAACCTGTGCAGCCCAGCGGGATTGCTGATGTCCCTGTCCTCACAGGGTGGCCAGCAACCTCGATGAGTCGCTGAAGGGGCAGTACCAGGTGACGGTGGAGGCTCGGGACGGCGAGGCACCGGTGCACTCAGCACAGACTGTGCTGAATGTGAGTTCACCCCCCCACACGCTGGGACACCCTGCGCCCTGCCCAGCCCCGCTCACCCCCACTCTCCGCACACAGATCTTCACAGTGGACAATTCCTACCGCGTTCGCCTCCAGTTCTTGTCAACGGTGGAAGAAGTCCAGAGTAACTCCGAAAGCATCAAATTGTAAGGGGTGCCAGGTTGGGGCCAGGGGTGCACGGCTGTGCAGCGGGGAACAGGGACATTCAGGCCAGGGCCCACTGGTTGTGTCTCCCAGCTTCGCAGACTGTGAAGGGGATGGGGCAGGCAGGTTCCCACCAGAGGAGGGGGCTGCAGGGGGTCCAGCTGCTTCCCATGCCTGCAAGTGGAACATCAGGCCACCCGGCCCAGCTTCCCCCCATGTCTCCTGTTCCTAGGGCCCTGACCACTGTGACCAAAGCAGCAGTTTATGTGGTGGCAATCCGAACCGCGGAGAGCACCCGTGACACCAAGTGAGTGGTGGTGGGGAAAAAGACACGGTGGTGGCATTTGAGGGGTCACCCTGGGGTAGGGCACCATGCCCTGCACCCTGGCACCCCACTCCCCCATCTCTGTGATCCTGCAGGGGAGCCAAGTCAGTGATGGAGGCGTACTTCGTGTACAGCAATGGCACTGCCCTGGATATCGACCAGCTGATCACGTGAGTGCCGGGGGCTGTGCACAGGCACTGCCACGTGCCTGGCCCGGCCCAGCCACTCATCCCTCCGCTTTCCTTGGCAGACTCATTCAGTCCGACTCGCTGGGCTTGGTTGAGCTGGTGAAACTGGGCCTTGCCGTTATCGTGAGTGGGGCTGGGCAAGGGGCATGGGGAGAGGGCACCAACCCCAGGTGGGACTAGAAGTGGGGTTCCACTGCCTGGGACTGTGCCCTCACCCCTGCTCTGTGCCAGGGCCCCGGGGAGGTGACACAGCCCACCAGGGAGACGGAGCTGATCGGCATCATCGCAGGGCTGGCAGCATTCCTGATCATCTTCATACTCATCATGACCCTCGTCTTAGTTCTCACCACCAGGAGGTACCGCACTGCCTGCACCTCCTCCTGCCTCCCATCACCACCCCCATCCTCACCGGCATCCCCAGACCCATCCCTACCCTCCATCCTGCTCCTTCCTACCCCATCCCATGGCCCAGCTCCCCCCTACCCATCTCACCTACCCCATCCCTGGGCTTTGCAGCTACAAGAGGAAGCTGAGTGCGATGAAGGCTCTGAAGGTGGCCACCACGTTCAATCCTGCCACAGCACAGCAGGGAGCCGGCATTCCTGGGACCAACCAGTACAATGCCGAGGGGTGAGTGGGGGGTTCCCTGTAGCAGGAGGGAAGAGCCCAGGCGTGTCCCCACACCCAGGAGGCTGCATGGCTCACTGTCACACCCCTCCCTGCCTGGGGGACACAGCTGGCCCGGGCTGACCTCAAAGCCCCAGAGCCCCATGGGACAGCACTCACCTGCCACCCATCCCTGACCAGGGCCAACCCCATACTGAACCACCCGCTTGATCCCTCACACGACCTGGGCTTCCATGAGGACTCCATCTCTGTGACCAGGTGAGCTCTGTGGGCAAGTCCCGAAGGCCACAGGGCCATCATCCTACACCCCCACTTCTCCAGTGCCTGGGTCCTCTTCTACCCCCCACCCTCCACTCTCCACAGCATGAATTCCCTGGATGAAAACACAGTAAATGCACCCGTGGATGATGACTTTGAGGTCAAGGTAGGTGTGCAAAGAGCTGCCAGTGCTCAGCAGGGAGTCCTGACAAGAGCAACCTGCATCCCCTTCTCTCTGCTGTGGCCTCCAGGCTCATGGACCCCTTGTGTCCCTTTCTCTGCATCCCCCTGACAGCCCTCAGCTCCTGGGAAGGCCAAGTGTCCCTCTTCCCCCTCTCTGTCCCCCATCCCCTCTGAGCATGCTCTCCTCCTGCAGCAGGTCAAAGTGCAGCCAACAGCCCCCACTGACAAGGAGGTGCTGGTGGCTGCCCTGAACCTGAAGGAGCCCACTGAAGCAGTGTACATCAACACCACCTTCACCACCACAGACTTGTGAGCGGGCTCACAGGGTGCAGCAGGGCTGGAGCGGGACTCAGGCAGCTGCTTTGGTGATGATGTGTTCAGTGTCTGGCAATAAACCTGTTCCAGAGAGGTCATGGTGTTGTGTGGCCATCAGCCCATCTGCCTGGGGGGCTCAGTCAGCTTGAAGTCATCTCTCCCGGCATGAAGTGCTGGTTTTGTGACAGGCTGGTGCCAGAGGGGCACTGTGGGGGCCAGCCTGGCTTCTTGTCCCCAGGACCCTTCCCCAGGCTGCCCCACTGGCCCCTCTCAGCCCCAGGGGAGGGAGGTGCAGGCAGCCCCATGCGGAGATTTGTGTAAGGTTTTATTACCCAACATCCATATTGACAGATTGGTCCTCCCGCCCCTTCCTCCCCCCCACCCTCCCCAAAAGAAACGAAGAGGAAAAAAAGAAGAAAATAGGTGATGAAGCTGTAGCGCTGGTGTGCCACAGCTTGGCAGTGCAGGGCTGGAGGTGGGCACAGACCGGGGTAGGGTGGGATACCCCAGGGCTCCTGGTCTTCCTGGCATGGCCATGGCACCACTCCCAAAGCCCAAGGCACTGAGCAGAGCCAGGTCCTGGTGAGTATCATGGCATGGAGTGGGCACTTGCCATGGCCCTGGCTGCCAGCTGGCACTTCAGCAAGCCTTTTGCACCCCCCCAGGAACAAAACCAAGTCCAGGATGTACAACGTGGGTTTGGAGGGGCAAGACTTGACCCTTAATGAGGGAAAAAGGCTGCACTGGTGACCCTGGCACCTCAAGCCCTCCTGCACCTCTGCTCAGAGGGGATGGTGCAGCTTCCCAAGCACCCCCAAGCAGCCTCCTGCCCATCAGGTGCTGCAGCACTGTGGAGCTGGTCCTCAGTTTGGGGCCAGGCTGGGGGGACCAGGATCTGTGTCTCAGCAGGACACTGCGGTGCTGCCGGCCACAGGGATGTTGACCCAGCCACAGGAATGTTCACCCCTGCAGACTGACTCTTCACTCCAAATGCTCTTCAGCCCAGCAGAGCACAAGCAAAGTAGGAACAGTGTTTGAAAAGAGGGTCTCGGCCCCGCAGGCCACTGGGAAAGAGGTGGCTTCAGGCAGGACACACACAGCTGAAAGTGTCTCTTAAAAAGCTCCAAAAATGCAAACATAGTTCAATAAAAGCCCCCCTCCCCCCAGCCTGTAAAACCCCAGCCGTAAAAAGTGGCAGCGTTTTGCAGTCATTGCATCCCCAGCTGCTGTCAGAGAAGAGCGGCCAGTGGGGCTGAAGGAACCCACACAGGGACACGTGCCCATGTCCCCAGCACGTGGGGCATCGCACCTCTGGCACCACGAGGGCAGCTGGACAGGCCTGGCAGCAGGGCAGCTTCATCTTCACCACCAGCTGTGGCGAGGATGTGCCCTGGACTCCAATGGTCACTTCCAGGCACGCTGAGTAAGGGGGCCATGGGGACAGACTCCCCAGCTGCCTCCAGCCACGGCGACAGGGATGAGCAGCTCTCCATCACAGGCATGGCTGGCCTCAGTCTCTCTCATTTGAGATCTGTCACAGTGCCCTATGTGGCCACATCCTCCCAGCTCCAGGGCACCCATGAGACAGCAGTGGGGCAGAGAGGACAGGGCTGTTGAGGGGCTGGTGCCTGCCCTGGGCAGCCATGGGGACCCACATATGCATGGCCATGGGCTGGACAGAGCATGGCCAAGCCCTGGGCAGGCAAAGCGATGGCAGGGTGATGCACCAGTGTCTCTCCAGCACGGGAAGTAATGCTGCTGCCTGAGGTGCCAGAGCTCATGGGAGTCAGCAGCACCCACCCTGAGTCATCTCTAGACCTGTGCCACAGGCAGGAGATGCACGGGAGCAGCTGCCTCCATCTGGAAGGAGCCACGTGCTTCCTCATGCTGAAAAAAGCCACCAAACACAGAGACAGGGCACCAGCCTCACGTTCTGGGGCACCTCCACAGGGCTACACTCATGGGGGGACCCCAGGCTGGCAGGAGGGACCCCAGCAAAGGAGATACCTTGCCCCAGCATGCAGTGCTCCATCACCACCTGCCTCAGCCCCAGGAGCCCCACACACTGGCACCAGGTGTCTCAGGACACCAGGGCAGGGACCCATTTTCACTTGCCCAGAGAAGCCCCGTGGCACCCCCACCCTGCCAGCATGGGCAGCGACTCACTCCATGGCGGGGCCGGTGCGGGAGCAGCACCGGGGCCGCCGGACGTTTTGCAGCAGAGCCCGAAAGACACTGGGCTGCCTCTTGGCCTCACCTTTGCGGGGGCCTCCCTTGACGGAGCCGGTGCGGGTGCTCTGTGGGGTCACCACCACCTGCCGCCCGTGCTCCTCAATCTGCTTCTCCAGGTGCTTCTGGATGGCCATGCCCAGCACCTCCACCTCCATGGAGGCCCCGTACACCTCCCACGTCATCCCCTTCTCATCCCAGCTCACCTCCCGGATGGGTTCCGGAGCCTCCTCCACCACCTCTGCCACCGTCCCCTTCACCTGCACCTCAGGATACGAAGTCTGTGGGGACTTGGCCACTGGCGTCATTGGCCCAGTGGCCACTGAGCGGGTCTCCACAGGCATGGACACCTGCATCTCTGCGTCCTTCTTGAAGGGCTCCAGGCGTGGGGCTGAAGAGCCCATCTCTCTCTTGGGGAAGGTGAAGGCAGCAGCCCCACCCGGGGGACTCATGGGGCTCAAAGCCACTGACACCAGGGACACGCGGCTGTCCACTTGCGTCCCCATGTCCTGTGTCCCGGCGTCCTGCGGGGGGGTCACCTCAAAGGAGTAGGACTCGCAGAGCTGCTTGGCTGTTTGGGGCTGCTGGCTGCTTCCAGCACCTGCACTCTGGGCCGAGCTCTGTTCGGCTTTGCCCTCGCCCAGGGTGGTGGAGCTCGGTTCTGTCTTGCTTTGGCCCCCGCTCCCCACAGTGTCGGTGCTGTGGGGGTCTGCTGTGCCTCCCTGGGGATGCTTGGGAGCCTCACTTCTGTTCAGCTGGGGTGCAGCACCCAGGGATGTCCCTGTGCCACCCTGAGGCTGCTCCTGGCTTGGCAGCTCAGCTGTCCCGGTCCCTGCGGTGGGCTCCACAAATGCCACACGTTTGGCTGGAGCTGGCGCACTTCCCATGTCCTTGTTGGTCGCCTTGAGGCAGGGATCGGGCAGGGGGGAAGCAGGGGCTGCGTTCTCTTTCTGGGCATTGGGGACCCCCATCCCTGTGGGACCACAGGCAGGGGCAGTGCCACTTGGTCCCCCACAGCTCGCTGTTGTTACTGCCACACTCTGCTCTGTGCCAGTGTCCCGGAGGAGCGTGCCAGGAGCTGGTCCTGTTGGTGATGGCACCTTCTTCTCTGCTGCTGAGCCCGACGTGGTGGCCTGGGCCTCTGACTCAGCCACGCAGCAGGTCCTCATGGCACGGGCTCCCGTGGCACAACCGGAGCTGGGCAGGCACTCACCTGCCGGTGAGCAGCCGGGGGAGGTGGCACTGGGGTCACAGGTGTCCTCGGTCCCGGCCTGGCGACTCAGCACCTGCAGCCCCTCGGGCTCCTTAGCGCTGCCCATGCCCAGGGAAGGCTTCTCCCATGCTAGTCCCGCCGTTGGTCTGCAAGAGAGAGGATGGGGCAGTGAGGAGGAAGCAGCACATGGACCCTCAGTCCACCTCAACTGCCAACTGATTTTCTCTGTGCCGCCCATGACAACAGGTTGGGCGGCCACCCAGAGCACTCGCTGTCCCTGGCACAGCCTGTGTGGTGGCACCCGGTGCCTGGCCATACAGGAAGGGAAGAATGGTGTTGGTTGCCTACCGTAAAAGTCAGCCTTCTCCCAGCACAGCTGGACCAGGAGCAGGATTCAGGCGCTGCCGTGGCTGTCAGAATGAGGAACACAGTGCAGACACCCCTGTGGAGAGAGCAGCAGCTGGAGTTTGGCCCTGGATGCCAGGCTGAAAGCCCAGGGCAGCTTGGCAGCCCCCACCTGTCCGTGGGGAGCTGGGTGCAGCAGGGGGTAAGAGTGAGCTGGGCCCGGGGTACAAGGGGGGCTGTAGGGCAGGGCAGAAGCACGGGGCAGCCCAAGCTCTTCCCTCCACTTGCCGAGAGCAGTGTTCCTAGAGCTGGGAGTGACGTGTGTCCCCGGCCTCGGGAACCCCCAGCTCAGCATCCACACGCCATGCCGAGGGTTACTGAGCTCCCGGCCGTGCCACACATGAGGGGAACACAGTCCAGTCTCACCCAACTGTCCCCAAACCCTTCCTGGCCCCATGAGGCAGAGCAGGGCGGGAAGCCCCGAGCTTTCTGGAAGCCCCCCAGCTCTGCCAGTCCGTCCTTGCGGAGCTGGGAGCACATGCATCCCGCAGCCGTGGGGCATTCCACGCCTCCGGACACGGCCACTCGTGGGTCCCGGAGAGGGCAGAGCCGAGCGGACACAGCTGGAGCCGAGCGAGTCTCCACAAAGGGAGGCGGCAGGCAGGAGCAGGAACCAGGCAGGCACAGACCCCTCCCAGCAGCGCCAGGCCCAGAAGTCACGACCCCCGCCCCGTCTGCAGGTTCCCACGCAGCACCCTGATCCCCGCGGGGTCGTGCCGCCCGCAACCCGAGCTGCCTCGACAGCATCCCGCTCCCGCGGGGCTGTGGCGCCGTGCCCGGCACTGATGCTCCGCGGAGGAGCTGCGAGCCCCCGGCACACGCGTGTGCACACGCACGGGCACGCACACGCCAGCACATGGCCACGGGCACACCCGCACGCACGGACACGCGTGTGCACGCCCCGGCCCCGCTTCCCCGGCCGAGCCCCGCACAAAGCCGCCCCCGAGGCAGCCCCGGCCGGGGGAGGCCGACCCGTCCGCGCCGCCGCCGACCGCCCCGTACCGGCACCGGCACCGGCACCCCCGGGCGGGGGTGGGCTGCGGCGCTGGGACGGGCGGCGGCAGCGCCCAGCCCGACCCCGCCATGTGCGCCCCGGGGCCGCCGGTACCTGCGGCGGATCCTCCCGCCCGGTGCCGTCCCGTCCGGTGCCGTCCCGTCCGGTCCCGCTCGGCTCGGCTCGGCGCGGCGGCGGCAGCGGCGAGCATGCGTGGGGCGGTGGCGGCGGGGGCGGTACCGTGCCCCGGGCCGCTCCCCCCCGGCTGCCGCCCGCCCCGGCGCCCCCGGTAGCGGTGGGGAGGCGAGGGACAGCCGGCTGCCGCGGGGGGCGTGGAGGTCCCGGCACATCGCGTCCCTCCCGGTGTCATCGCTGTCACTCCCACCGGCCCGCCCTGGGAGCCCCCCATCGCCGCACAGCCCCCCCCTCCCCCGGCACCCAAAGCATCAACACCCCTCGTGTCCCAGGGGCGAGCACCCCGGCACCCCGCGTTGCACCCGGGCACAGCAGGACATATGATCGGGACCGGACGGTTCAGGGGGTCTCCAACCCTTAGGGTAGGTCCCATGGGTGGGGTCACAGCGACACTGAGCACAGTCCTCCTCCTACCTGGTGATGGAGACGGCCGCTTCCCTCCCGGGCATCACCGGGGAGGGGGCTGCACCCCAATTAGCCCGAGGGACCGGGACAACGTGCCACCGCGGCGGGATGGAGGTGGGTTCCCGCGTACCCCTCGCCCGAGGGTGAGGGAGGATGGGGAGGGAAGAACGGCCCCGTCTCGCTCCCGGCAGCGCTTGCCTCTGCTCCCGGGCTCAGGCTTTGTCTAACTCCTTCCCACGCACTCCCGCTCGCGCTGCGGGGGGGAAGGCGGCCTGCTCGCCTCTCTTGCATCCCTGCATCCTCCCCAAAACCCTCCAGCATCCCCCCCAAACCTTCTCCTGCCCTTCATCACCCTATAGGATCAGGGTCTCCTCCGTGACCCGGGGATGTCAATACAGACAAGAACAATAGATCTATAGGGCTTGGGGGGGCATGTGCTAAGGTTAGAGGGTGTTCCCCATCCTGTGGTTAACATAAGCACCTATACATCTATAGGGTAAGGCTGGTTCTAGGGGAGCTGGCACACCTGGTTGCTTGGAGACAAGGGAGATTGGAAATGCTTCTTTCAGTAAACAGCCAGGCTGGAACAAAACCCTGAAGGCTAAAAATAGGGAGGCGGGATATGGAAATTAAATAAAATTTAATTCTCTCTCCCTGGGGCAGAGTGAGGCACCTCCATGTCAGCGCTGGGCACCCCAATAGATGGCTGGAGTGACTGATTTGGGGGTGTATCACTGCACCAATCAATGTGTCCCCTCCTCTAGATGTCTGTCCCGACCCTCAGTCCTGCGTGCTGGTCCCAGTTCTGTAGCGTTGACTGGGCCCAATTGCCCACCTGCAACGAAGTGGGAACAGGGTGTGGGGCATAAGTAGAGGCTTACATCCCGTGCTGTACTGTGTGGGATTAGACCCAATCCTGGACACAAGGACCAGACCCAATCCCATCCAAGGGACACCATGGACTGGGGCAAGTCCTGGCAGAGGAGGAGACAAACGATCCCTGGTCCCTGGCTGGGATTTTGCCGCAGGCAGGAGGCTGCTGGGTCTCATCCTGCTGCCATTTGCTTCCACCTGCTGCTCTCAGCTCCACCGGCAGCGGCTCTCCCCGTCCCCATCGGCATCTTGCCACCCAGCATGTCCCAGTCCCAGGGGGCACGGGCTGGCACGGAGGGGTGGTCGTGGCGATCATCCTCCCCTCCCTGCAGGCAGCCTTCATCTCAGGCTGGCTGCCTCCTCCTCCTCCTCTCCCCGCCCGGGCACTTCGGGGCTGGCAGGAAAACAATAGCGAGGAGGATGAGTAAGATGGTCCCCATTGCCTTGGCAACGCACTCCCGCGCTGCCGGCTCGGGAGGAGCCAGGCAGCTGCCTGAAAAGCGCGTTCTCCCTCGGCGGAGGGGGTGCTGGCGCAGGTAGCACGGCACCCCCTCCCCGGGCGCCATGGCCCACCTCCCACGCCGCACGGGCAGCGCCACGTGAACGCACACCGGGCTCCCCCACAGCCGCCGGCTCCCGCACACGCCGGAGCGAGCAGACACACGCGCCCGGCACACGGATCAGCCCGGGCTGGGCTCCACTGCGTCCGGCTCCCCAGTGCCCCGTTGTGCCAGGGAGCTGTGGAACACAGCTGGCGGGGTCTGGCTGGGAATGTGACTCCTCCAGCGCTGCCCTGGTGGGAAGGCGATGGGTTTCCCTCAGCCGCTCGCAGCCACATCACCTTCACACACGGCTGCCCGCGGTATCGGCGGGCAGAGGTGCCAGTACCAGCGCTGGTGGGGTGCCGGCAAATGGCAGAGGCAGGGGATGCCTGGGGGCATCAGGCCCCCAGCCCTGGCCACGTGCTATCCCGTGGGTCATGACATCAGCAGGAGTACCCTCAGCATGTCCAGAGCTGTAAGTGCCGTGTGATGATGGGGACATCAGCTGGAGATCCAAAAGCGCCAAGGACCCTAAAAACAGCACTGTTTTCCCAGACACTTGGTGTGGACATGCTGGGGGAGGGAGTATCTGATCCCTGCCGGCACCCTCTGTTCCAGATGCCCCAAAACACAGCCCCTGCCTTACCCTGTGGAGTGGGAGGACGCTGTGTCCAGGACACCACAGCCTGGTGGCCGAGCACATCATCCAGGATACTCCTGAATACAGACAGGGATATGGCCCCAGGACCAGCTGGGGGGCAGAGGCAGGGACAGAGGCACAGGGAGGCCCAGCCTTGCCAGCTGCTCTGAGCCACTGAGAGGCATGAGCTCTGTGCCTGAGCATGGCATTAATCAACCAGAGCTGGGTGGGGAACAGCCCAGTTACACGTCCAGCCTCTCAGCACAGGATGAGGGGAAACTCTGAGAAAGAACCAACACAAAGAATCATAGAATCATGGAACGGTTTGTGTTGGAAGGGACCTTAAAGATCATTCAATTTCAACCCCACTGCCACAGGACAGGGACACCTTTCACTAGACCAAGTTACTTCAAGCCCCATCCTACCTGGCCTTGAACACTTCCAGGGATGAGGCAGCCACAACTTCTCTGGGCAATCTGTTCCAGTGCCTCACCACCCTTTACAGTAAAGAATTTCTTACTAGTATCTAATTCAAACTTGACCTCTTCAGTTTAAAGGCATTCCCTCTATCACTCCATGTCCTTGTCCAAAGTCCCTTTCCAGCTCTCTTGGAGCCCCTTTAGGTACTGGAAGGGGCTCTAAGGTCTCTATGGAATCTTCTCTTCTCCAGGCTGAACAGCCCCAGCTCTCCCAGCCTGTCTCCATAGTAGAGATGCTCCTGCTCTCTGATCATCAATGCAATCATCTATTGTGACTAGATGCTGCTATTTCAGAAGAGTCAAAGCCTTTCCCACAGTGCCTCTGTGCCTTTGTGGTAGAAAGGCAGGGGCTCTTTACTTCTTCTCTCTCCTTTCCCAGGGGTTCATTTCAGCAGATCAATCAATGTTGATGAAGTGAAAGCCCTGCCTGCATTAACAACACAAAAATGCACCATAGTGGGTAAGTACAAGGGGAACATAAAGCACATGGTGACTTGGGCATTGGGATGGGGCTATGAGACAGAAAAGCTCATTAGATGCTGTGAAAATCAGAAGGGCTTCAGAAGTGCAGGATGTTTCTCTGGGCACTGATGTGTGAGGGCAAGTCTCGCTATAGAACATGCCACTGGCAGCCCGGAATGTTCATGTTAATCAGGAAGTGTCAAGCATTGTGCCTCTCAGATGCAGTCGCTGTGCCTGGGTTGTCATGGATTCAGCTCTGGCTGGTGGCATTTGTGATAGACTCAGGGTGCATATCCTGTCCTGTCTTCAGCTCCACTCTGCAGAGGCTGCATGGCATTAGTGGGGACCCATGTGTGCTGTGGGGAAGTGGTGGTCCCTTGCCACCAACAAGATCACAAGTGCCATAGTCACTTCCTCCCTCTGGGGAGCAGGTGAGCTGGCAGAGAACATCTGTCTGCCTTACCCGGTCTTTTCCAGATGTTCCTTTTGGTGTTGCCATGGCAGATGTGAGGATCAATCCAAGGTAACACTCAGTGAGTTCACTTCTCTCGTTTCCCTGCCGACAGCCCATAATTCACGCTCCATTTGCACAGCCCTCCCTCTCTCTGCATATCACAGCGATGCGCTCTGATGAGTGGGGGGAGACGTTTGTAGTGAGTAACACTTGCCCAGAGACTGTGAAAAGCAGCTCGGGGCGGGGAGAGGGAGGTGAACTCTGGTTTATGGGTCGGTGCATCTGGCCGGAGACAAGCTGAAGGAGCCTGGTGTAGGGATGCTCCCGCCGCTGCCTGCTGTGCTGGGGGAAGGGGCAAATCATCAAGAGCTTGGAAGAGCAGTGAGCAAAGGGAGCAGGAGTTCACACATATCTTTTTTTTCGATCCAGGGACCCCAGCTGCTGTGAATAAACTCCCTGGAGTCATCAGGCAGGGCAGGGCAGCTGCCGGATGCTGTACTGTGGCTCTGTGATTTTTCCTGGGGCCTGCAGTAACAACTGTGTTTTGTTGCTCTTGCGCAGGAACATGAGCTGAAGAAAATAATGAGGCATTTTACTGTAGAAAAGGCCAAGAAGGAGTTTGCAGGTGAGAGTTTTGTCCCAGCTCTGTAAACAGTGTTTGCTGGCAGTCAGGGGAGTAGGCAGCGGCTACCTGGCCAGGCAAGCAGAGAGGTTGCCATTCCACCACTGCCTGTCACTGCCCCAGTGCTCTGCTGTCCCTTCACCACTTTGCCTGCACACTGTGAATTTGGAGTAGAGAGAGCCTCAGGCTGGTCCTACTGCTGGGCAGGGGTCTCATTGGGCTTTATCCTCCGTTCCTGCTGGCCTGCTCAGACTCAGGGAGGAAGTGAAAGTCTCTTCTGCCTCAGCGTGTGATAGAGAGCTCAGTGGGTGCTGGTCACAAGGCAAAGACCTCTACATTCCCTCTTGAAAGGGACAAGGCAAAGACTTCGTGAAAGCCAAAGCCATTCATACCTGGGGGAGACTGAGGAGGCCCTGGGGTATGGGCACCACCACACATTGGTCAGGGGACTCCTCGGTGTGCCCAGAGCCTTAATCAGCCCATGGAAATCACTTGGCCACACACATGTTTTGGTTGGAGCACAGCAATCAATGGATATGACACATTTTTCTACATCCACAAGGCCTGGGATTGACGTGCTGGCCAGTGATGTCAGTACTGGGGAGTGGGAGATGTCCTGGATAGCAGATATCTGCACCCACACATTGGTGTACCAAATAAGCTCTGACAGTGCCAGTTTGGGTCCGAGAGCTCAGTGGGACCCTGAGGGTACAGACCTTTCCTCCGAGGAAGGATCTTCCCTCCCTTTCTTCAGCCCAGGTCCAGCTCACAACTGTGGTGAGGTGCTTCCCCCTGCTGTAACTCCAGGAGCTCCTGCTCTCGGCCAGGCACTGCTGCCCCGATCCATTGCCTGCAGCTGCCCATTCCTGAGGCCATCGCTCTCTGCCAGGGTGGAATAAACTGGAAGCCACAGAGCTGAAGTCCTTCCTGCAGCTGCAACTCCGTGTTTCCCTCCAAGCCCTCACTCTCCAAAGCAGCTCCTTGCCCTGGGGAGGACACTTTGAACTGAGGTTGAACCTTGAGCTGCTGCCCACAGTGGCCTCGGGAACAGCCCTGCCTTTGCTCATCCCTTTCCTTTCCACACATCCGTATGCTTCACTGATGTGGCAGAGAACGAGGCAGCTGAAGTTCCTCAGCTACTGTATATAGTTTTGCTGAGTTTTGGGGCTGGTTTTGAGATGTAAGTGTTGCTTTTAGGAGCTGTATCAAGCTGGTAAGTGCTTTGGGGCAGAGAGTGCAAAGCCCTCTGTCCTCATAAGGAGAGCTGAGCTCTCCCATGGCCCTGCCCTGTGCTGATGCTGTGGCAGCTGATCACACCCCCTCAGTGTGAGGTGCAGGATTGTGCCTGGACGCTGCGTGGTGCCCACCAAGGGACTGTGTTTCTCACTGGAGCTGTGTTCTTTCGGGATTGGTTCTTAGGAACTGAACAGCATGCTGTGCTTGGAACATCGCGTCCAGGAGCTCTGAAGGTGATGAAAACAGGCTGAGCTGGAAGATGAGCTGGAAGCCCTTATCCCGTAAGCTCTGCCTTTCACAACCCTCTCATTGGCCAAGGAGATCTCCGCCCTGCCAGGTCCTAGTCTCCACCCAGCCAAAACACTCACCAAGAATGGCCACACTGGGGTTTCAGTGTGGGCTTCTCAGCTCAGGCTCCTGAGAGGGGGCTGTTACCAGCACAGAGGGTCAGATTCAGTGTCTGTCCCCAAAATTTACCTCTCCCCACACCATCTCTGCTCCATGTCACTTTAGAGCTTCGGCAAAGTGGGCTGCACACCTGCACAAATGCTGCATCTGTGTAGGGGTCACAGACAGAGCCATTTACAATCCCAGAGGGATCAATCCCAAGGCACTAGAACACTACAAGCAGGTGAATTGAGCCCAGTCATCCCCATCCCTGTTCTTAAAGGGGTGGTGGTCAGTGCCTGTCTCTGAAACACCCACGGAGAATGTGGCTGGCCCTTGTGTCCTGCCAAGCCCAACTCTGAGGGCAGTGCTCAACATCGCTAGGCTGGGACCAGCAGGACTGTCCTGCTCATTCCAGGGCCACAGGACCATAACTGGCTTCCCAAAAGCAGATCCCTATGACAGCAGCATCCTGGAAGTGTGCTGCAACATCTTCATCCCTGCCACTGTTGGGAATCAGCTCTGGAGGGAGAACACAGCCTGGTGCAAGCAAAGGTACAGACCAGTTGTGCCACACGCTCCCGACAGACCCTGCATGGGTGTGCGAGTGGCAGTAGTGCAGCCAAACCTTAGCTTTAGGAATTCAGCACCCCAGGGAGGAGCCACATCACCGCACTGACATCTTGCCTGCTGTGCTGGAGGGATGGAACATGAGAGAGAGGTGGCAGGTTACATGATTTAGGGTGAAGTAAAGCCCAAGCCCTTCCCTTTGCTGGCACAGAGCAAGGACTGTTGGAGTGACCTTGGGCAGCTCTTCTGCATCTTCAGTCTTCATTGCTGTATCAGATCTCCCCCCAGAGCAGAGGAGATGATGCTCTCAAAGGTACTGGGTGTCACGGTGTTGGCACTGAAAATCATGGGCAGCAGAAAAGAGTGAGCAAAGCAGGGGACTGCTACAAAAACCAGCTTCCCACCACCACTGTATTCGGGACTGTCCTACACCATGGAGCAGTCAGCCGAGGTATCTGAGGGCTCTTTGCCTCACCTATCCCTGCTCTGGGGCCCATGCCTCACTGCAGAGGTTCTGGGCCGTATTTGAGGGGTGCCCCCCCACAGCACCCCATCACCACTCCTTGCAGGCCAGCACAAGGCCTGGGTTCCTCTTCCCAGGGCTAGCTTCATGCATTTTGGATAGAGCCTCCTGCTCAGCAGTGTTCCTTGTTGCTGCTGGGACCCTGTCCCTCTCTCTCTTCCCATGTTCCCCATTTCCAGGATTGGTTAGATGAGTCGGGGTGCAGCGCTGGGTGGGGGCTCTTGTGCCTGGTACTTGTACTTTTGGCACTGCCTGCACCCTCCTCACAGGGACCTCTGCCCCACCTTGTCCCCAGATCCTCCCAGCACACACCGGCCTCACAGTTCTTTCTCTTTTTCTAGAAAATTACAGTCATGATGGGAAGGTACAACAAGATCTGGACAGAGACCCTGGAGCAGGTGTTCACCGTGTACCTGAGGTCAGCTGCACCTACCGACACAGCACCTGCCAGAGCTGCCCTGGTGAGGGTTACAATCCTGCTGCACAGGGAGTGCCCAGGACACTTTGTGCTGCGCCCTGCTGTCTATAAAGGGTTAGTTTGAGCAAGTTCTCTCTCTTATCTCTGTCTCCCAGCTCTCCTGGGCAGAGAGCTGTCTTCCCCCAGACCCTCTCTGCCCCAGCCCCTTTACAGCCTCTCTGGCACTGAGGGAAGCCATGCTGATGCCGGTTTAGGTCTGCTTGCTTATGGATGGCAGAATTTGACAAGGGAAGAAAAAAAATGCAATTAGTTCCAGGGGATGGGGAAGCCCAGGGAACAGACAGACCCCAAAGAGCTCTCTCAGTCCTTCTAATAACACACGGTGGGTGCTATAAGCATTGCTGCAACCAGCACAGGCACGGGGAGCAGAGCCAGGGTGGGGATTTGCAGGCATCAGCAAACCTGTTGTGTGTCCGTGCTGACTGCTGCAGCTTCGCTCCTTGCTGGCAAAGCTGGTGAGCCAGCACGGGTAGGGGATCTAATCTGATATTCATGTCAGGGAGATTCAGCCCAGCCCCTCACCCCAGCCTGTGCTGTGGTCAAGAGGCTGGAGGCTGGCTGGGGAACTAGGCTGGGTTGGTGGTCCTGCCCCAGGAGAGCTGAAGGCCCAAGGACTGTGCTCTGGGGTGGGTACAGGACCCCCTGCCATGGTGGACATCCCTTAGCAGCGTGTTACACCCGCCTGCCCTTCAGGTGGTCACAGTGCAGCTGAGTGAGCCCGTGGGTACCAGCCACATCCCCGACCTCTTGAGGGTAGGAAGGGGGAAACCAGTGCTGGAGTCCAGGGCTGTGTCTAGCCTCATCCTGGCTTGTGGTCCTCAGCCCCACAGGGCCCCCTGCATTCACCTGGAGATGCAAAGCCCTGCAGACAGGCAGCTGGCATAGTGACTCTGCCTGCACCCCAAGTCTCAGCCAGAGCCTGGCTGGAGGCCCAGGGCACAGTGACCTGCTGCTGACAGAGGACAGAAAGGCACCCTGTCCTTGTGAAGACTCACCTAAGCCCACTCCCCCACTGCCAGCCCCATTCCTCTTCCCAAAACCACCACCAAAGTACAGGGCCACTCCCCTCCCCAGGGACCCCACAACCAGGACCAGGGGGCTACAGACAAGAGTTGGCTTTATTCATGGACACGGGGGCAGCTGTGTCACTGGCAGCTGCCCTCGTATTGCACATCCAGCGACGGGGGAATATCCATGCCACGTCACAACACAGCTTCGGCACTATGGGACCTCGGGAGGGGGGGCGCAGGCACCATCACCACCCAGCAGGCTGGGGAGCGGGCTTGGGTGCCAAGGGTTCACAAAGGCAAAAGACCCGTCCACCCATAGATAGAGATATATATATAAAAAAAAATAGTTCCACGATGACCAGAGCAGTACCACAGGGACACGCGTGCAAGCGAAATGTACAGCAGCCCGCGAGCAGGTAAACATGCTTTGTACAGACACAGACACACCGGGACGCAGCCGGGGTTTATGGTGCTGGGAGGGATACAGAGCCATAAACCCGGGCTTCATGGACACACGCACGCGCACACGCACACACACCAGCCCCTGCGGGCAGCACCCACGGCTCGGGCACGCGCCGGGGCTCGGGGGCTTGGACACAGCGGGTTTTTCTCACTGCTAGACATGTTACGGAGACACGGACACGGTCCCTTGGAACGGAACTGGAGGAAGAACTCGTGAGCGAACGGGGCAGGGGCACCCCTGCTCCTCCCCGGCACACAGGCACCGGCCGGGGCCGGCTGGGGAGGAGCAGGGGGCTACCGGCGGTTCGTTGTGCTGCTGGTGGAAGAGGCAAGGATGGGGGTCCATTATGCCTCTGGCTCGTATTCCTGGTATTCCTCCTGTGGGATGGGTAAAGAAAGAGTTAGTGAGAGAGCTCAGGTGGGGCACAGAGTCCCTCTTTCCCCCAGCCCCATGCCATCTTTGTGAACACTGTCACACTGTGCCATCCACAGTGCCCTGTGCCCACCCTGCCACCCTATCCCCTCACCTGCGGGGGCTCCTCGTAGTTCTCCCCCTCTGGCTCCAGCAGCGGCTCGACCAGCGGCTCCTCCACAGCCTCCTGGGCCACCTCCTCTGCCTGGGAGTGAGCCAGGGGGTCAGTCCCACACACACAGCCCCCCGTGTGGCGCCCACCCACCCTGCCCCTGCCGAACCAGCAATGCAAGCAGCATACAGGGGGCTCCACATAGAGGCAACCAGTGGCACCCTGAACACACAGCAGTCTGCTTAGCTGGGAGGTGACATGTACAGGTCCGTGGGACCAGGGGCTGTGTGCACATCCCTGCGCTTCTCCCAGCCCCGGGCAGGCCCTGTCGAGCTTCAGGGACTGGCAGTGCTGCGGGAGCATCCTGCATCCCTGTCAGGGGAGGGCGGTGCTGGGTAACCCCTCCCCGGGCCTGGCAGGAGGGAAAGGGGGGCAGCCGATCCCGCCGCGCAGCGACGGTGGCGGCGGTGGCCTCATTTCTTCAGCTGATGCTATTTTGGGCTAAGCTGGAAGCCAACAGCTCATGGGGCGGGCGAGCTGGAACCCGCTGCCCCTCCCGCAGCTGTCAGGTCACCTCGCAGCCGCCGGAGCGATGCGCCGCAGGCCCGCGCCGCCGGCCGCCATGGCGGGGCCCACGCGCACACACGTCCGCACGCCCCACGCACGCGGCCGCACACGCGGCCCGCACGCTCAGGGCCGCGATGCCCGCCTGCCCTGGGCACAGGCAGAGCACCTGGGCACCCTCAGGGTCCCTCCCCCAGGAGTGGGGAGCAGCCAAGGGGCTCCCCGCCAGACCCGGGCACGTGCCAGCCTCCCCGCAGCACCCAAGGGGGTCTCACCTTCAGATCCGCAGGGAATTCCTCTTTCTTCACCAGCCCAGTGGCCGCTGCGATGTTGCCCGCGCCTGAGAACGCCGCTTCGCCCAGCTGGGACGCCTGCTCCTTTGCTTTCTCAGCCACTGCAAGAGCCGGGGCTGCCCATCAGTGCCCCCCCCATGCCAGGGAGGGGAGCCCAGCTGTGACTTCATGCCCTGCACCACCCAGGGGGAGCTGCTGGGGAGTCGCTGGGCAGGATCAGGCTCTTCTCACTTCCCTGCCGGGGCGCTGGGGAGGGGAGGGGGCCAGGACAGTGCTCTGCAGCTGGGCAGGGAGTGTGATTCACCGCTGCAAATCCTCGGTTGCAGGCCCCATTATATAAGAGGCTTTGGCAGAGTGACATCAGCCCCTCAATTAGCCTCTGATCTCGTTAGTGTGGCCACGCTCTCAGGGCCAGAGGGGTACAGCAGCGGGGAGACAGAGCAGACCATACCTGAGGTTACGCCTTGCACCACACCTTGGGTTTTACTTCCTGAGGGTAGAAAGAGACAGAGATCAGGTTAGAGAGGCCAGTGGCCAGGCTCTGCCACATGCTGTGCCCAGGACCCTTGCAGGGCTCTGAGCCAGGGCAGCATCCCACCCACACCCCAGCCTAGCCACGCCAGGGCAGCCTGGGGGCTGAGGACCCGCCTGGCTCCCTGCAAGGCTCCTCCGGTCCCTGCAGGACCCTCAGGACTGGGGCCACTGCCCCATGCCTGGCAGGGCAGAGGCCCCAGGGCCCAGCACCCTGTCAGGGCCCAGCCAGGCAGGCTGAATGCCAATCGTGCTGCTGAGTAAAGCCTCCCACGGGAGCCAGGATCCAAACCCAGAGCTGGTGCCAACACAGCACGGGAAGCCCCACAACTAGAGTGCTCAGGGTTGGGTGCTGCTGCTGGCCATGACAATCCTGCCAGGCTCCTTCAGGCAGTGATACCATTCAGGAATGGGGGTAGGGTGTCTAGGTTGGAAGGAAAGGCAGGGACTGGGCAGCTCCTGCAGGATGGAGCCTCCAGGCACTCCTTAGACTGCTGGATCCCTATCCAGCACACACACCCTGGGCAGAGTGTGGGTCCAGAGCAGGCATCCACCACTGCCCAAGGGAACAGTTCTGAGGCCTCAGCATTCCCACAGAGCTAATGCCCTCTGGAGCAGGACAGAGCCTCAGCCCTGCGCCCTCCCGCCTCCTGCTCCAGTTCGGGGCGGCCTCAGCTCCTGCCCCCAGCATTCCAACACCACAGCCAGGCACACAGCCTGCCCAGAACCTGCTTCTGCCAGCCATGTCTTCTAGGACTTGGCACCAAATAGACCCAGACCCCAATTGGCAGCACAGAGGGACTCCTTAGTCACCAACTGGGAGCAGGGGAGCATCTCCTGGCGTGGGATGCATTCCAGGGCATTATCTCTCCAAGGGGGAAAAACGTGGTCCCAGCCCTGCTGCCCCAAGCCGGGCACTTCCCAGCACGGGGGTCACCACCTCCATCACAGTCCCTCCGCACTCCTGCCCTAGAGCATCCTCGGCACGGAACCGAGGGACCCTGGGGCTCAGACTGCCGGGGACCGCAGAGGGTCCAGTCCCCGGGGGTCCCATCCCCTCAGCCTGGGGACCAGCCCCGGCTCTGCTCTTGCCCGCAGAGCCCACCCTCCCGCCTGCAGATTCCCGGTGGGCTGGGGGGCACTGCGGGCTCCGTCTCTCTGCCCCGGGGCACCCTGCCTCAGGGTGGTCGTGACGGGGAAGGGGCAGGGAAAGGCGGGAGAGGGGCCGGGGGCAGGTGGAAGCGGAAGGGGGACGGCAGGGGGATGGGCAGGAGGACGCAAGGGCAAACGCAGGAGCAGGCAAGGGCAGGCAGAGGGGGCCGGCAGGTGCAGGCAGGAACGGGCAGGGATTAGCCGGGGGGCAGGCAGGGGCTGGCAGGGGGCTGGCAGGGGGCAGGCAGGGGGCTGGCAGGGGGCTGGCAGAGGGCTGGCAGAGCAAGCCGGTCCTTACCGACATAGAGGACCCCTTCCTTGGTCTTCTCGGCCGCCTCGGCCACCCCTTGCTTGGTCTTCTCGGCGGCGGCGACCACCCCCTCCTTGGCCTTGGACAAGCCCTTCATAAACACCTCCATGGCGGCTCTGCGGGGAGAGGCCGCACGGCTTCACCCCGCCCGCCCCGCGCATCCCGGTCCCGCGCATCCCTTCCCCGCGC